AAAAAAAAAAGAAACATAAAGAGAATAAGGGAACAGATGGCACTGTAAAAAAGGAAATGTACTTATTATCTGATGTATGTAAATGTAACCTGTTTACATATAACCTCTATAGTAACAATAAATTTTTTTTAAAAAACAGATCTGTGGTTTGGGTAAATGACATTTGTAGTGTAACAAATATGTGTGATCTTAACAAGGAGCAACTCTGCCTCTTTGCTGGTCTCCCTTGTAATGATCCAATGATAGCTCTAGAATCCTCATGCCACAGAAAAACAGTTCACACTCATACACACAAGACTGCTTACAATTTCAGAGGTTCAAAGATGGAGAATGTGCCTTCTCAGAGCAACTGAGGGATTTGGTTTTACTGTTGTTGAGAGAGGTGTGAGTACTTGGGATTGTGCTCAGAGTCCTATGTATGATAGGCAAATGTTTTCCCACTGAGCTACATTCAATACACACACACACACACGTGTACACACACACACACACACACACACACACACAAAGATTGATTTGAGACAGTCTAGCTAAGTTTCTCAGGTTGGTCTTAAACTCTTTCCTCCCGCTCACCTGGTGCTGGGGTTTGGCTTCAGAGCATTGTTCATGCAGGGAAAAGGCTTTCCAGTGAACTACATCTCCTGCCAGACTGACAGGTAGCTCGAATGCAGACATGTAACATCATATCCAGTTAAAACAATTGTTTGATAAGTTATATTCCAGGAGGGGGGATAGAGCCAAATGAACTTTATTAACTATTCACTAAAGGAGAAACCTAAAAGCTACCCTAAGAGTGCCCTGGCCTCTTGAGCACTACCTTCAAAACAATCCCTTCTTTCTATTCTCACTTAATTAAGGCCTTCACTTGTTTGTACAACATAATTACATAATCAGGAGCCCACACTGTTAAGGCAGACCTCTGAACTTGCTGATTTTTTTTTTTGCCTTATTAGCTAGGCTATGGCAATTTCCCCTCCTCAAGTGGATTACTATGACACCATCTCTCCTGAGTCTTGCAGCTCTAGTCCAACCATCCTCCTGCTCTATACTCCTGCTCCTACCATTCTCAGACACAAAGTTCAAACCAAGTGTAAACTGCTTTGATCCTGCCTAACATCAACCTTATCTCCCCCTCTACCAAACCCAAAACGTTTAGATCCACAGCACCCAGCCTTGCACACCCAGTGCTCTGCACACGATCCATGCCCTTTCTCACTTCCCACTTAACTAATCCCTACAAAGGAGTCATCACATCTGGTCCACAGCCAGTTTCTGTATGGTTCCTGAGCTAAGAATGTTTCTACATTTTTAAGGGATTTTTGAGGGAGAGGGAAAACAAGAGAAAATGTTATAGGCCTCATGCAGCCTGCAAAGCATTTACAGTTCGAGGCCTTCAACAAAAGAAGCCTGCAGAACCCTGAGCTTGTTATCACTGGGGACTTACTCTGCAGGGCACCAGAGCACACTGAGGAGACATGTCATATACCCTATGACTTGCCATTGAGCTTTGCTAGTCTCACCCTTGTGTCTATATCGCCAGG